TCGAAAACTTGAATATAATATTTTATATATTAATGTAGTTTCTTTGTTTGGTAATATTTTGGTAAGTCCTTTTTTCTTGAAGTTTAATATTTATTTTTACGTGCTGAATTTTATTCGGTTTAACTGTTAAACCGAACCGAATAAACCATAACCGAAAAAACCATATCCGATTAAACCGAACCTTATTTGGTTTGGTTATGGTTAGATTTAAAATGTAAAAAAACCGATAAAACCGAACCGTTTTAACCGAAAACCGGAAAACCAAACCGAATAACACCCCTACTTCTATCCCACCCTTCTTTAAGAAAATTGATACCCTCTTCGGTCTCTTAGATTGCTCTCTTACATTGCCGGTCACGAACACCAACGTTTATCTCTATTTTTTTTAAACGACAAATGTAATCTAATACTCCTGAATTACACCAAAATACCACATATGTCCCTAATGAGACTTGAACCCTCAACCTCAAAGAAAGAGTGCAAGACCTGATACCGTTGGGTGGAAGTCATCAAATTTTTTTTGTTTCTTTTGCTATATTCTTTTCTTGTTTTCTATTTCTCCTCAACAACACTTCCTTATGGTCCCTCCGACAACCCCTCTTTTTTATTTTCTCGTTGCAATCACAATTGCTCCTCCTCCTCTCCAAAAATACAACTACGCTTATCGATTACAACTACAAGCTCAAGAGTTTCAAGACCACCAAAACTGTCAAGATTTAGTTTCTACTCTTCAAAATCAATAAATTACTTTTTGAAGCTTTCTGCATCAGTTTGAGTGTCAGTGTTTGTCCTCCTCTCGCTCAAACTGCGGGAGGCCGATAGTGTAACATTTTAAAGATATTACATTATAATTAATCCCTTGATTATTGGGTCATTAGCTATAATCAATCCCATGATTATCAACAAACTATTTAAGCTATGGTCATATTAATAAACTGGCAAGCGATTATATTCAATAACACTAACAATATGAAATTTGATTATAACTTTTAATTTTAAAGTGATTAGCGAACTAAGGTTAATAGTGTTACAGTTAACTCGAAGCAATTAAAATCACATAAACAACTACTATTCATCAACATTTACCCTATAACAAGTTCAAGGAGCCGCATGCACAACATAGAAACTTATAGGCTAGAAGTGCAAATCGATAAAAGTACATGTAGCCAGAGAGAAAATTGATTAAAAAAAGGCCTTAACCACTCTGCCATATATAACACCTCCAGTACATCTTGGTCATCTCTTTAGTTTTCTTAAGCCGGTAAGAAACACACTCGAGGTGCATTACGGTGTTGGTGAAGGCAAGGCCAGCTGAGGATGAAGCAGAAAGATCAAATTTCTACAAAGTGTGAGAGTGTCATAATCAAGAACTTAAGGGACTTAGCTGCAATTAACAAAAAGCAAGCAGCAATGGTGTTTTCTGATCATGGGTTTGATTCCACTACTGGTCTGAAGAAGTTGGACGACAAGTCGAATCAAACTGAAGAGTCTCTTCGTACTGTCATGTATTTGAGCTGTTGGGGACTTAACTGAAGCACCTCAACCATGAAGATTTTGAGAAGGGGGCAAAATGGTATTTTTACCAACCTGGTATGATCAAGATTGAGAGATAGATCTAGAGCCAAAATGATGTTCTTGTAAATAGGGTATCATCGAGATCGTGAGGGTGGTCAAATGGTTTTCCTCCAAATGGGTATCATTTATCATCAAGGGGTAAAATATATTTTTTAATCCGATGGGGTTAATTGGTATATTCTTTTAGAAGAAGTAGATCAATCAATGGTTCAATTGTCATGAAAATAGAGCGGTGATGTATTGTGTATATAGTCCATATGATTATACAAAGTTCCAGTATGACTTATAATTAACTTATATTTTTGCATTAATAGTTCTTAATCAAGTACTTAATTCAACAAAAATATACAAGTGTGAGTTGAGTATTTACGAAATATATGAGTTTTAACATTAAAGTACTTAATGTGATGGACGTTTTCTTCTAACAATATTATATTAAATATTTTAAATAAAGCAATTTTAGAGAAAACCTATAATTATTTGGAAAAAGAGGGCGTATGTAGGGTTATCCACATCCATATCTCAATATGCACCACATACACAAAATCAAATAATTGAAAAAGAAAACTTTCTGGCATTACAACCGGTTTGGTTGTGTCATCTTCCTCGTCTTTTGAAGGGTGTTTTTGGAACAAAAACCACCATGAATGCCCTCAAACTTAGTGAAACTATATGTTTTCATTCATCTTTATTCTCTCGTGACTTGACAAATACTTATATCAAGAATCTAAATGCTAGTATTAAACCTCGTAAAAGAACAAGATTGGCATTGAGAGCTAGTGTTGATGAACAAGAAGAGAAAAAGAGTTCAGAGAAACGAAGCTTTCTAACCCTAGAAGAAGCTGGTCTTGTTGAAATGTCGGGTTTAAGCAGTCATGAAGGATTTTTATGTCGATTGACGGTATGTTAATGTTTTAATCAAACTGTAATTTATTTGTTTTTATTGAACTTTTGGTATATAAAGTGTCTTATAAAACTAATAACAAGTGACCATGATCAAGAAAATTTTATATTTTCTTTTATAAACGACACAGTTAATTTATTTGGCCAATTATATAAAAATCACTATATTGTAGTCTGCAGACATATTTTTCGAGTTAACCATTTTTTTTAAAAAATTTTCTTACAAAATCAAACAACTTTAATACCTTTTTTAGTCTATTAATTTTAATCTTCTACACCCGGTACAATTGGTTTTTCTTTGATAAGAAGGCCCGAAAAGATGTCAAACATAAGGTGGTTAATCAAGAAAATGCCCAAAATATATCTCTAAGTATAATCATATTTATGTAATTTGTTCTGACTTGTATATGGAATGAAATCTATGTTTTTCGAGGGTGGTTAATCCAGAAAATGCCCTATATATGTAACGAACCATTAATCTATAGACGAATGTATCTTGTTGAGGTTATTAGTTAAACGAGCATTATATTATAGAGGTTATTTAAAAAAGTTGATAATTGTTTATTAGTTTCGAGTTTTTATCAATAATCAAGCATATTACAAAATAATGAAAATTCTGTACTTTACGACGATTGACAAGTTTTTTGTGATGGTTTTATGTTATACAGATATCTTCGCTAAATCTTTTGAGGGTGATAGGAGAGCAAGAAGGGTGTAGTATTGAGGAATTGAACGCAGGGAAAGTGTGTGATTGGTTTCTGAAAGACAAACTCAAAAGAGAGCAGAATTTGGATGCTGTTCTTGAGTGGGATGAATCTAATTTCCAACTATAAAAGACCTGTTGACCCTAAATTTCCACACATATACTCTATGTTACAACTACCAATTGGATGGTAGTTTTGTCAATTGGGAAATTATTGTCGATTGGTTTATTCAAAGGTTCAAAGATGCTCCTAAAAACACATATAAAAAACATTCATTATAAGAAATATTATCATAATTAAATATGAAATGCATTAATTATGAGAAATATTTTTTTATAATTAATGCACTTCACATTCTCCAATGCAAAATATTCCATATAATTAATGCATTCCATATTTAATTATAATAATATTTCTTATAAATAATGTTTTTATATATGTCTGTAGGCCAAATATTAAAAAAACTCTTTATTCAAATGGTTGAAATTTAACAAAAATTAGTTGAGTTGTACCCTAAGTTACAACTTATAACCCGATCGAGGGTCTATTTGTCATTTTCATAGATCATTGTCCGTTTGGATATCAAATCTTCAGAACTTGTTTATGCATTTAGGCCGCACGATGTAGTGGACGGTTCCATATGGAACCGTATTTAGGAACACCACATTCTGCGTGCGGTTTAACCTGCAATTTGCAAGTATGCGAGTTTTCTTTCCCATTCTTCCTTCCTCGCCTGATTCTTCTGTTGTAAAATGTTTAGTTTTTTTCTTTTTTTATTCCTTTATATATATATATATATATATATATATATATATATATATATATAATTTTTTTAACTTTACCATTCTATAGATACCAAACACATCCAACATATTTTTCACATTAATTTCTATATTTTCTCTCAAAAATTCATTCAACCACAAAGTCGTCATCCTCATCTCGGTCGTCGGATTAGATGGAACAAGAAGAAACGACATTTTTTCGGTTCCGTCATGGCAAATCAGTTGTGTATTTCCAAAACTGACAAGCTCAAAGTTCGCGTTTTCGAACAAGAAGACCTCCATTAAACAGAAATCGTTAAGTCGAGTACAATCGTCTTATAGAAAACTATTTTGTAGATGACGTCGTGTACATTTCGACGACAATTTCGGATGATGAAAAAGTTATTTTTACGTATTGATGGCGACTTAGAGGGTCAATTTCTATATTTTCAATTGAAGTGGGATGCGATTAGAAAATATTTTTCTCCAATTCAAAAATGCATTGGTGAAATTCGTCAGTTAGCATACAACATGTGAACAGATAAATGGGATGAGTATTTAAAGATGTTTGAGTGTACCACACGAGAAAGTGTGTACAAGTTCGCGAAAGCTATACTTTGGTTTACCACGAACTATATTTGTGCAAACCAACAATCAATGATGTCCACCGATCATAGAGATTTGACGATTATACTAGAAGAAATGGTGTCACACAATGTTTGGATATGTCATGCATTCTTTGGTCTAGCTAGTGCAAACAACGACATCAATCTTCTTGACTAATCTTCGGTATTCAACGACATTTATCTTGGAAAGTCGCACGATGTACCGTTTCAAGAAAAAGAGGTAGCATTTAAGCGTGGCTATCTTACTAATGGGATATATCCTACCTTATCTATTTTTTGAAATCGTTCACATGTTAAAACGACGAAAAAAGAATAAAGTTTAAGCAGTCACAAGAATCAGCTAAAGGACATGAAACAAACATTTTGTGTACTTTAGAGGCGTTCACAAGTATTGCAAGTCGAGGCACGATCATATGAAGTCAAAAGGTTGCAACACATTGTGTACGTGTACATCATATTAAATAATATGATTCTAGAAGATAAAAGAAAACCGATATTCCGCTAAGACGAAAACGAAGTTTTACCAAATGTTGAACGAGTAGTTGTTGGTACGCAAGAGTATTGGGTAAAATAGAAGGAAGTACATGATTGTGAAGTTCATCACTCCCTTCGTGCGAATTTGGTGGAGCATATTTACAAGGCTAACATACAGTCCGAGGTCGAGTATTGACACGATGATTTGTTTGATGAATCAGATGAAGATTCAGATATGTTCGTTGAGGACTCGGACTCGGGCGACAATTGGGAGTGATGTAGTTTTTTTTTTAATAATTCTTTAATATTTTTATTATTTAATTTTTAATTATGTTTTCTTGGTTTTATTATGTAATTTTTATTTTTAATTAATGAAATATTTTAATTTGTATATATTTTTGTTTATTAATTATTTTTTAATTAATTATATTTATTTTTTAAATAATACGTTTTAAAATTAAATTAAGTTATTGTGGAAAAAAATGAAAAGAAGTAAAAAGTGACCATTTCCTAGGTTATGAAGAGTGAAAAGTGAGTGAGGAGAAAAATGATATTACACAAAGTGAATGAAATATTTTTTAATAATTTTTTAATATTTTTATTATTTAATTTTTAATTATGTTTTCTTGGTTTTGTTATGTAATTTTTATTTTTAATTAATGAAATATTTTAATTTTTATATTTTTTTGTTTATTAAATATTTTTTAATTAAATATATTTATTTTTTAAATAATACGTTTTAAAATTAAATTAAGTTATTGTGGAAAAAAATGAAAAGAAGTAAAAGTGACAATTTCCTAGGTTATGAAGAGTGAAAAGTGAGTGAAGAGAAAAATGATATGACACAAAGTGAGTGAAGAGAAAAATGCTATGACATAGAAAAAATGAAAGGTGAAAGGTAAGTATACCCTTATGACTTTATTGTTGAAAATAGTGTCAAAGATTATCAACTGTTTTGGTAATATTTCTAATAATAGCAGAGTCCTTTGATAGTGACCTAATGACAAATAGTATTAAGGAAATTGAGAAAATAAATTATTAATTAATTAAGGAATTGATAGATTAAGTGGAAATTATTTTCGTAATTATTTAAATTATTTTAATTGATTAAAAAGATTGAATATTAATTAAATCTTAGAGATTAATTGAAATATTCTAGAAGCTCCTGGAGAGTGCATATGAATGATTTTGGTAGACTCATTAGATATGGATATGACATGTTTAAATAAGATAAAGATTAACCTGAAGAGTTTGAATCCTTCTAGGATTCTATATGCAACCTATAAGTAAACTGTTAGGGGTCAAATGTGACAACCGAGGCAAAGATTTGACATCCCCAAATTTACGACCATTTTAAAACTTTTTATTTTTGCTTATTTTAAATCAGAGTGATCTTTATAAATGCGGAGTTTGTCTCATAAAATGTATTTCCGAAGAAAATGTTTTTCATTGATTATTAAATCGTTCTGCAGATAATTATATTATCTATCAGTACCTTCATATCGCTACCTGTGATACAAAGAAAATGAGTGGGTCAGGTTGGGAAACTTGGTGAGTATATAGAGTTTTCAACCCACAGTATTATAATCTTTAATTATATATTTTTTAGCATTCAAATACTCCAATTACCCTATTATTGTCATCCTCACTTTCTAATACTAGTATGGTGATCTCGAGGGATTAGGCACGGGAATATGATGATATTTTGGGTAAGCATGGCAGTACAATAATACTTTTGACAAACACGACAGACACGACAGTACACATAGTACTTTGGATGGGCACGACAGTACAATTAGTACTTTTGCTAGGCACGACAGTACGATAGTACTTTTGGATAAACACGGTAAGTCTCGGCTTGTTATTTTGCACATCTCTCACTAACCTATCACAATCACTAGCTCACACAACCCTATCACAAGCTCTCCTATATTATTTCACACGACCATTTACTACACAATCGCATTTTAAGTATAATAATTTATATATGGTTTTATCAAGTAATAGCTATATCATATTGCACAGATATATTGAACGCATCTAAACAACACACATAACAATTAAGCATTTATAATACTTGTATTTATGTATAAGCAGAAAATAACTATGCACTCACTTGACTTAGGTGAGTAACTAGAGATTTCGCCAGTGCCTCACTTCGTAATCCCGATGACTATAATAATTATAGTCTAGATTCCTTACTAATCACAATGTCTACATCAATATCTATCAAGTTAGGATCAACCAGGCAGGACAGTTGGGAGGCAGGACCATTTCAGCGTATAGCCTTTCTAAAATCCAACAACCAAGTCAACGTAACCATTCTAGACACCTCTCCTATAAGTAGATCAATTAGTATTATGACTTGGAATCACTGATAAATCTTATTTATAGGTTCATAATAACGACTTATGACTATAAATATAAGTTACACTGAAAAGACTAGAGTATAGCTTAACTTTTAAAGGTTCTTCCTGAAAAAAGTTAGGAAATTACACTGGCAAAGCTTCTACTCGCTAGCTACTACTATTTCAGGGATCACATGGCTTCGACGAAGACTAAAACTAAGAGAAAATGGGCTAAAGTTGAAAGAAATCGAGAGAGAGAGAGAGAGAGAGAAAGAAAGAAAGAGAGAGAGAGAGAGAGTGTGTGTGTGTGTGTTTGGGAAGTTGTGGGAGAAAGAATGAGGTTTAACCTATTCATAGTCGATTTTGAGGTGCACGGCGTGCACGTGGGGTGTATGTCGTGCATTTTAAGGCGAACTCTCCCCAACCATTTTTGTGTCACGTGTCAGCCTCTCTGTGGTCCACGTTTTCACCTTCTAAAAACGCATGCCGCGCACCCGGCGTGCACTGCGCAAAACACAGATTTTGTAAATTTCATAACTTCTTCATACACGATCCGTTTTTGATGTTATTTATATCCTCGGAAATTCGTCGATGAGATCTACAACTTTCCTTTAGACTCCATCGACTAATTCTGACTTTATTTTTCGTCTCTATTTTTTGTATGATTAAATGATTTTGTTAAATCATAACTCTCTGGTATAGACTTCGTGTTAGTATTCTTTTTCTCAAAAATTTTATCTTAAAGAGTACTATGATTTTCTTTTTGGTGACTTTAGCTAAAAGTCAACAACTCTCTTCGTAACTTTTTACGTCACAGATTCCTTGTGCGCGGCTGACTTTTATATCTAATAAAAATCACATCTAACTCATACAGAATCAAAATTTTACGGAATTTATAATTTCGGGATCGGGACAACATGTACTTTCTAAATATATAATAATATATATGTTTTGGCGCACTTATTTTTACGATTTACAGGCAATTCGGCTGATTTTCCTATTTTTCCTTAATACGAAACTTTTATTATATAGTCTGCAGCGCGCACGACAATATATTATCATATTCAAGGATTTTAATTTTAATAATTATTACTTATTATGTGTAGCCTGTATTTATGGGCGTTACAAAAGACGTCACCAACCGCCGTTAAAAATCAACAAATGGTTGTAATAGGTTAATAATATAATAAAAGAAATATATTCAATTATCAAACGCGCTCATTAGGACGGATGGACATAGAAATAAGTGCACAAAAAATAGAGTCTCCTCACAAACAGGTTAACGTATTTAAAGAATACATGACGACACAATTCCGAAAATATACAGTTCTTAGGAATCCGACTTAGTGCAGAAAAGATACGATAATTATTGTAATTAAATATCTACCGCACACAAGAATCTACAACGTCAAAAACTACAAGAGAACGGTCGAATTATAGCTAAAGCCACCAAAAGAAGAATCATAGTGTTTATCAAAGTAGGAATTTTAAGACAAAGAACACCTAAATTGGAAACCATACGAGAGAGTTATGAATTTTATAAAATCATAACAGTCAATAAATATAAGCTAAAAGACCTATAACTAGCTCAGACCTATAATCATTAAATCTTAAGTGAGCGTGAAAGATATGTACAGATCTATATGGGGTTGACACCCCCACATGCGGTTGCTGGCTACATGCTGATGGTCAAGTCGAAGTAAGCATAACTTTTTAAACTATGGCGACGTCCAATGAAGCGTTATCTCGGGGAATACAACAGTCATAAGCTGGATTATAGGAACTCATCGTAACATTATTCAACACATTTCTAAAAAGACGCCTCGAAGAAGTAGTGATAACATACACAAACTCAAGGATACGAGTCAAGACCACTAATAGTACTTATAAATACTATAAAACCTAATAACATACACAGAATCACGAATGAAAGTCAAGAAATCCAATGGTACAAATATCCCAAGAAGATACATTATAAGCACACAATCAAAGAGATGCTAGAAAGATATAAATATAGAACCGAGAATATTTATAGGATACCACATCAAGTACCTTTAGGACACCCCAAACAAAAAGAGTTAAGGTATAGACATTACTCGAATACAATAAGAAAATGAATCACTATATTCATAAGAGAAAGATCCTTCTCAAAGACACTAACATATTTTATACATTATCGAAAACCTGTGAACTCACCAATATTATGTTGACCTTTGAAATTCACATATATTCCTAGGAAATTGATGAAACTCATTACAACCTCGACTGGTCTAAGGAACCGATGGAAAGCCTCTGAAGAAACTCAATTATCAAGCCAAACCTATAGCACTATTGTAATTATACATCTTATGAACGGTCGCTTAGGTTGTTGGATTTCAGAACGATTATATGCTAAAATGGTCCTGTCCTCCGACACTTCTCACCCGGCCAATCCTTATTTGATTGTCTAATGGTACAAAAAAATTCTTAATTTGAAATGATCTTTTAGTGCTCATCCAGGAAGCCCTAACCAGAAAGGGACATTGAACTTTTACTTGCTCATTTGCAAACACAGCTAAAAGCCCAACACTATAACATTTTTCGAACCTAATCTGATAATCCTGTTTTATTGAGTGGTTGGTTAAACAGATTTCAAGTTGTTGTGGTAATTCATACCTCTCTCCCAAAACTAGTCTCATTTTGTTCCATTTCACCTTTGGATCTAGTATAATGTATTGGAAATCAGCACCGTCTTCATCCTCTTTTTCACTTAACCCTTTTTGCGAATCAACTTCTTCATCATCTGTCTCATCTTCAGGGTTCAAATCAAAGGAGTCATCTCCATCGCTTTCATCGATTTCAACGTCGGGGATGGAGCAATCTTCCAGGCCTTCTTCACAGAATGTGTTCAAGAACCCGTCTTTGCATCTAGGCGTTTGTTTCTTTATGAATAGCTCATCAAGTTCCACGTCTATCGTGTCAAAGTCTTCAGTGGTCTCCATTATCACCACTAAACAAAAATTAACTTAAATTAATCAAGCACAAGATGCAAGAAAATGGAAGATTACGTGGATGCGTTCGCAATTTCTTACCGTTTGAAGACTGTCGTTTGCTACTTTGGTGCCAGTAACTTTACTTCCTTCAAACAATTGACTGCTTGAATCCAGAGGGTTTTTTTTTTTTTTTTTTTTTTTTTTTCACTTTGTATAGGGTTAGAAGTAAAGGGGAACGAGTGAATAACTAAGATCGAGTTCCAGATCATACAAATGAGGCCACCTAAGTAAGGTGACCGACTAAAATAGTTGTACCGGTGAAAATGGGTCGATTCAAATAAATTATCTGACATTTTGTCTTTTTTTGTAAATAAAAATTAATTTGGGACTAGAACGTAAACTGACCTAAAAAGACTTTTCCGAAGATTTCCCTAAATGAAACTCGAGGACACCCCTCCTTTCATTTTCTTTCTCTCTTTAAAAAAAACTCAAGAATACACATTTCCTTCCCCTTTCTTTTAAAAAAAAAACTTGAAAATAGGGTGTAAAATATGCTCCATTTCTTTCCCTTTACCCCCTCTCCATTTAAAAAAAAAAAAAAAAAAAACCACACACACCCCCTAAGAAGAGGGTGTAAAATATGCGTATTGGAAGGGACAAAAACACACGATGCGACTTGTTTGTTGGATTTTCAGGAGTCAAGAGTCCATGAATTTCAGAGAGAAAAAGAGAACCTTTTGAAACACACCTCAATAGTTGAAAAACTTCCGGTGCTATTTACTGGCAGGTGATGCCAATCGTCGACGATAGACCTCCGTCTGACGGTGGCGGCAGTAAACTTTGGGGGATATTGAAGTTACCGTTTCGAAGCTCACGTAACACTACTCCACATACAACAACGTTATCTTCTTCGTACCAAATCGAACGATCTCACGCTCATAAGAAAAACGAAAAATATAGCTCAAGCTCCACTACTTCGGTCTCATCGGTGGTTAGATCTCTGCTTCCGACGCGGCGGCGTCTCCGGCTTGATCCGCGGAATAAACTCTACTTTCCATGTATGAACTTACTGCATTATTTTCTTCCATTATTGTTATTTCTGTTTGAAAACTGATCATTCCTGATTTTTCGAGTAGTAATTATCTGTTTCTTAACTCGATAGATCCAGATAATCTTCTCAATATAAATTGATTTTATGTTTCTCTTACTATTATCTTTAGAAACTTGCTCATGTTGTGTTTATGAATTGAATTAAGCGAAATGGATCCACATTAGGTTTTGCAGTGTGATTTGGGAGCAGTTTTCATTCTTTCATTAGAATTTTCTTATTAGGAAACCCTAAGCTAATAACATCTAAGAAAACATCAAGGTGTGTTGTGCCAAATACAGGACAACTCTGTTCATACTACTTGTACTCATCAATGGACGACTATGATTCTTTTACATCAAGGGTTGAGATTTCCCATTCAAAACTTCAAATAAAATATCTAGATATTTACAAGGAACCTTCTACACAATTAAAGAGGCTACAACCTTGTGGATGCTTCTAGAGGTCACCACAACCTTCTACACAATTGCCTCATTAGCTTAACCAAATTATAATGATTTCAACATGATTTTATAGATTATAGATCATGAATTCATGATACATTGATACTTTAACTTCGTTAGTTATCTTTTATTTCTCATATCTCTAAAACATGAATTGGTTGAATTAGGAACTTATGAATATACTTAATTATGTTATGATTAATGAAAAATCATGTCAATTTTCTTCTTGAACTTTGTAGATGAACCTGGTAAGCAAGTTCAAAGTGCTATCAAGATAAAAAACACCAGCAAGTCTCATGCAGCCTTCAAGGTATGACTATAAACCTTGTTTAACCTTTAATGGATCAAAAATCACAATTTTTATTTATTTATTTTTTTTTTTTTTTGTAGTTTCAAACAACTGCACCAAAAAGTTGTTTCATGCGTCCTCCAGGTGCCATTCTAGCTCCAGGCGAGACCATTATTGCAACCGGTAACATCATTACAAACTTTCTAGGGATATTTATGAAGATAAGGAGGGCATTCATGTCTTTTACACACGTGATTATTGCTCACAATTTTCACTAATGGTTTTATTGTGATAGTTTTTAAGTTTGTGGAACCTCCGGAGAACAATGAGAAGCCAATAGACACAAAGAGAAAAGTGAAATTCAAAATCATGAGTCTGAAAGTCAAAGGAGTGATTGACTACATACCCGATCTAGTAAGCCCTTTTTTTTTTTTTTTTTTTTACATTAAGTGTTGTCTGGATAAATGGTGTTTAAAAAATATATAATAAAAATGACAACACAATAAGGGTAATGCATGGAAAAAGTCAATGAGGTTAAATTTGTCCTTTTCTAAATGAATTTCTTTACTCAGTTTGATGAGCAGAAAGATCTAGTAGCTGTGGAGCAGATACTGCAAGTTGTTTTTCTAGATGTGACACGTCCAAGCCCAGTAAGTAATAAATAGCAATGTACTTTCATTTATTTGTCTATTTACTTTCAATATTTTTTTTTATTACATTGAAAAAATGTATCAAAATATAGCAGTGAAAATATTTTGTATTTGAATTATATTTATTGATATATTTGGGTAGATTTTTCAAAGTATGTTGCTATTTCTTGCAAGGCATTGGAAAAATTGAAGCGGCAGTTAGCGGAGGCTGAGGCGGCTCTTGAAACCCGCAAGAAACCTCCAGAGGAGACCGGACCAAAAGTTGTCGGTGATGGCCTTGTCATAGATGAATGGGTGAGCTATTATTATTATTATTATTATTTATTATAATCATAAAAATAGAGCAAGTTACATTTTTGGTCCCTGAGTATAGCTGATTATTTCAGTTTTGGTCCCAAAATGTTTTCTTGTTTCAATTTTGGTTATGATTTGAGGTTTTTGTAACGTTTGTGGTCTCTGTTCCAAAAAAAAAAGACTATTTTTGGGACCAAATCGCAAAAATCAGTGATACTTTGGGACCAAAATTAATCGTATTACATGGAAGAGGGACCAAATTGATATAATGGTAAGTTAAAGGGACTAAATTGATAAAATGGTGTATTTTTTCCTACGTATGCTTTAATTTATGAGTGCTTTTTTGCAGAAAGAGAGACGTGAGCGATACCTAGCGCGACAACAAATTGAAGGGGAAGACTCGATTTAATAATAAAAAGTTTTTTTTTTTTTTTCCTTTTTTTCTGAAAAAGCATATACCACTTATTGAATTCTATTTTATGTTTTTTTTTTTCCGTTGTAAAAAGCTTTGGTGAGGGATGTATTTAACCCGTTGGTGGTGAGCTGTAGGAGGTACAAGTCAAAACAGCGGAAAGTACCGCTTGGACTTGCACCCGATAGTTCTTTCATCGGGTAGACTAAGATTGTATACAAGATTTTCGTGTGTGATTAGTGATTTATAAGTAAATTAGACTGTGTTTGTTACACTGGACAAGCTTTATAAGGGTTGTTTCTTTTTTATTTTGACTTTATGTGGAGAGCATGACGTTAAGCTAAAAAACTTTGGTTAATGCAATAGATGTTAACTGTTTACCTATTCGATATTCTTTTTTCTCCCAACTCTTATTGGGAGTTTTGTTTTTTGGAATCTAAGGGTAAATTTTCATTTATAGACTTTATGCATACAATACTTACAAGTAAAGTTGCAAATAATTAATCAATGAGAATAATGTAAAACGACTTTCTTTATTGTTGCAAATCCTTTTTGAGGTCTAGAAGGTTGAACATTATATTGCTTTAGATCATTCATAACCTTATTGTGAAGACTATATATAATCATAGTCCATCAACACAAATCCATTCTCCAATAAACAACTTGTTGCAATTCAGATTTGGGTTGATAATGTCAAAGAATTCCGAGCTCATTTTGAACTTTTGAGCTATGCCGAAACAAGTATCTCCACTTTTCACGCCGACAACGGAAGAACAAAAAGGGACTGGTATTGTAAAATCTGAACAAATATCATACTGTTAAAAAATAGTTCAAGCATAAGAATTTGAATTTTTTAAGACCAAATATAGATGATTGATAAGTGTTAGACTTACCAAGAGAAACAGTTCTGCCTTCGATTGTTGTCATGATACCAACAAAAAGGAAGATCATGAAAAGCATGCAGACGACTATTTTGTTATTGATTTGAGCCATTACAACAATGAGCCTATTGCTTTAGATGTTTTTTTAATGATGATTTCAGTTTGAAGAATGTTGCCCCATTTATAGGACTTGTTTTCCACTATAAGATAAACAAATAAATCCAAAAGAACATTGTTAGATCTTGGTTAATTTTAATCTCACCAATGAAATCACTTCCAACAGCTACAAACACAACATCATGACACAACATCAAGTATTAGTTAAAAATATGGACTTTGGAAACTTCAAAATACATAAACCATACAAATGATGCCAAATTTTATTGTTGTTCAAACTTTGTTTAACAAATTAATGAAAAAAGTGGGGACCGAATACAAAAAGTAACTACGTATTTTCTTATTTTTGTTACACGGGATATCACACAGGGCAAACTTTGTAGGGCTATATATGAGGACGAGAGAAAGACATTCATGTCTTATGGATGAGGTAAGAAATTGCAACTTTTTTTTTGTTGATATCAGTCGTCCCGGTCTAAGTCCAAAGCACATCAAACACAATACAAAACCATCATGTTCAGTCGAGTCATATTTTGTTATGTGAGCATGATCATAAGGAATAGAAAGTATAATGTTATGTGGTGATTTTATTAGTATGATTATTGCTTTTTAGTTTGGTAGCCAAAGAGATACAATGGTGAAAGTACCTTGTTCTTTGTGTACATTTCCATTTTTTAAAATTGGTAAATTAGAAAAATGGTTGTTTTTAAATATATAATGTTTAATCACTATAGAAAATAGTTAAGTGTCTAAATTGATAAAATAGTGAAAGTACATTGTGCTTTTCTGTATTTTCCCTTCGTATGCTTTAATATATGAGTGCTTCTTGCAGAAAGAGAGACGCAATACCTGAGTCGACAACAAGTTGAAGGAGAAGGCTCGATTTGATAAAAAAAATGATTTTGTTCTTATAAATCATACCATTTATTGCATTCTATTTACATTTTTTTATCATTGTAAAAATCTTTTGTGAGATAAATTACTACATGTGTTTAATCCGTTGGTGGTTAACCGTAGGAGTACAAGTCGAAATAACGGAAAGTAGAAGGTACAATAAGTTGAAGGAGAAGGCTCGATTTGATAAAAAAAATGATTTTGTTCTTATAAATCATACCATTTATTGCATTCTATTTACATTTTTTTATCATTGTAAAAAATCTTTTGTGAGATAAATTACTACATGTGTTTAATCCGTTGGTGGTTAACCGTAGGAGTAGAAGTCGAAATAACGGAAAGTAGAAGGTACAATAAGTTGAAGGAGAAGGCTCGATTTGATAAAAAAAATGCTTTTGTTCTTAAAAGTCATACCATTTATTGCATTCTATTTACATTTTTTATCATAGTAAAAATCTTTTGTGAGGTAAATTACTTCATGTATTTAATCTGTTGATGGTTAGCTGCAGGAGGTACAAGTCGAAATAACAGAAAGTACTGTCTGGACTTGCGCCCAATAGTGTCCTCTCACCCACTCTCATTTTTTACTGCCACATCATCCCCCCCCCCTCATCGATAGGAAATTGTCCCATCTCATTACCTCCTACTTTTTGTTTTTTTTTTTAATTAAAGATATAAAATTATAATTTAATAATTTTCCAAATATTTAAGATAATAAAAGAGGAATATTCCATTTATTTAATAATAAAAACCATTACTATTCAAATCGGTGTTGTTGAACCACTTCCACACGATTTGTTTCGACCGAATCTTGGGGTGAGATTGTTTGGATTCATTTTAGTAGTAGAAAATGTAACATTTGTGTGAAATAAGTAGTAGAAAGTGTAGTAATTGTGTGAAATAAATACCAGATAGTGTGGTATATATAGAGTAAATTTAAAAGAGAAAAAAAATCCCAACTAGTTGTTTATACCGGTTAAGGAAGAAATAAGGAAGAAAGCATACACCGCCATTGTGACACCTCATCACATCGTGGTGGTGGTTCCGAAATACCTATCGGCCTAAGGGTTGTTTCTTTTAGACTTGACGAGCTTAATGAGTCAAGTACTTAATACGGATAACTTTATGTGGATGTTGCTTTTGATTTTATCCGGACATAATGACTTAATGAGTTGAGCCAAAAAAAAACATGGGTTAATGCATTAAACCTTTAACCCTTGATATATTCAATATTATTTTTTTCTCCCGGTTCGTATTTCGAGTCTTGATTTTTTGAATATAAGGATAAAATGGTCTTAGTATGATGGTTAATTTGTATTAAAATTAGACTATTTGTGTAAACAATACTTATCAAACATAATTACGTACCCAATAAGTCATTTTACATGTACATGACTTAATAGGAAATAGTTAAAATACACAACTCATTAGGTTATTTTGACTTAACATGAAATAATTAAATAGACAACTCATAAGATTATTTTTTAGGATGAAAGTGAGGAGGACATTTGTGTCTTTTGTATAGACGCAAACTGAGAAGAGAGTCTTCATCCCATTTTCTTACGTGGGACAAAAAGTTGTTAACTCATTGTCTCATTGACATTAGTTTCACTATTTGTTGTGTTATGTTTAAAAAAACAAAAAGGGCCTAAAAGTTTGTTACCTTTTATGTTCTTAACAAAATATTGCAAAGACTTTCAATGCTATTTCATGTAAATAAACTTGCAAATAATTAACCAACGAGAACCAAACAAAATAACTTCATTGATTGCAAATCCTTTTTAGTAGGTTGAAGGTCTAGAAGGTGGAACAATTTATTGTTTTAGATCATTCATAACCATATTTTGAAGACTATATGTATAATCATAGTCCGTCAATACAAATCCATTCTCCTACAAACAACTTGTTGCAATTCAGATTCGGGTTGATGAGGTCAAAAAATTCCGAGCTTATCTTGAACTTTTGAGCTATGTCAAAACAAGTATCTCCACTTTTCACGCCGATAACAGAAGAACAAAAAGGGAGTGTTACTGTAAGATCTAAAAAAAATATCCTATCGTTAAGTGAGATATATTCATGATTACTTCAAAAATAGTTCAAACATAAGAATTTGATTTTTTAAGATCAAATATAGATGATTGATAAGTGTTAGACTTACCAGGAGAAACATGTCTTCCTTCGATTGTTGTCATGATACCAACAAAAAGGTAGATGAAAAGCATGCACACGACTGTTTTGTTATTGATTTTAGCCATGATAACAATGAGCCTATTGCTTTAGATGTTTCTAATGATGATTTTAGTTTGGAGAATGTTGCCTCATTTATAGGACTTGTTTTCTACTATGAGATAAACAAATAAATCAAAAAGAACATTGTTAAATCTTGGTTAATTTTAATCTCACCAATGAAATCACTTCCAACAGCTACAAACACAAACATCAAGGATTCGTTAAAAATATGTGGACTTGGGAAATTTCAAAATACATAAAGCATACAAATGATGCTAGATTTTATTGTTGTTCAAACTTTGTTTGACAAATTGATGATACAAGTGGGGACTGAATACAAAAAGTAACTATGTACTTTCATTATTTTTTTAAAGGAGGAATACAAATGATGTTCATCCGTTAAAATTTTGTTAATAGATAAATTAATAAAATTGCAGGCCATAAACTCCCTACCTATAGAAAAGAAAAGACTTCTAGGACAGGCGAGGAATCAAAATAACCTAAAAATTCATAAAAAGAAACTTAAAGGGAAAGGAACATATGCTCCAAACCCCAATACAAATACATACCAAAACATAAGCAATAAGAAAATAACCAACCACAAAGAGAGAAGAGATAAACTTTTCTAGGGATATATATGAGGATGAGAAAAACATTCATGTGTTATGGATGGGGTAAGAAATTGCAACTTTTTTTTTTGTTGACATCTCAATGCAATGAACACCAAATGCCATCTTGTTCTCTCGTATATTATTATATTCTGTGAATAGTGTCATAGGGAATAGAAAGTCAAATGTTACCAGGCAATATTATTCGTATGATTATTGCCCTGTTAGTTTCACTTAGCGATATATTTTTTTTAGTTTTCAAGTTTGTTAACCCTCAAGGGAACACAAATAGACCGAAAGCTAGACTTAATTATTTGGTTTTTATTTGGGGTTAATTTAGTAATTGATGTTTTTCTTGAACCAATGCCATTAAAGGGTGTAACGATTCTGGAAGTTATGTGTGACACTTACACTAGAACAGTTACTTCTAGTTAATATGTCGTTTGGCAAGAGTTGT